GCATATAACAAATGTTGCAGATTAATAGATGAAGCAAACAATTTACAAAAGGTTGCCAACCAAATTCTTATTGAAAAAAAAGTAATACTAACAAAGCTTGAGCAGAGGTTAATTCAATATTGGAAACAGAAGTACCTGGATGATTGTTATAATTCAATATTAAGACATTTCCCATGAATTTGGGTCACCTAATATCTAGGGAAAGGGAAATAGAAGTACCTGGATGGAAAAAGTTTTCACCTAATGTTTCTCAGCACTTGTTCTTCTGATTAGAGTAAAAGCCTTCTGAAAGTAGGCAAATTATACCAATTGATGAAATGATGATAGATGCCATGAGTAAGCAACATAGGAAGTATAAAGCTCTGCAAAAAAAATTAAGAAGAGGCTTACTTTGTGCTTCAATGTGAAAGTTGCAGCTACTCCCCGAAGGCACATTCATGAAAAACTTGAATAGTTGAGCGACTCCGAATCATCACTTGAAGTTTCCAATTCGTAAACTGTGGTAGTTAAACCCGGAAAAAGAAAAGTGAGAGAAGGGAATTGAACAAACAATTAATTAATGATTTGATTTGATCAGAGTATTAATTACCAAATACATCTCGGATGTGAGAAATCTTGTGCCATTCTGGGCCGCTCTCCTTGGCGCATCTTTCCGCTAGACGGGGACATCCACTAATCTCCAGTGTTTCTAATTTGGTGAGGCATTGCATAACTTCAACGGTAGGCAGATACATCAGATTCTTACAACCCCAGATATTCAGGCGGATAAGAGATGAAAGGTTACCCAACCACTCTGGAAGAGCCTCCATGCTGTCGAAAGAATCTATAATCATAATTTCTAAACAAGTAGTCAAGTGTTGAATTTCTTGAGGCAGAGACTTGAGCTTAGGCCACCCTGAGATCCCTAACACTTGGATTTGTGATGGAAGCTCAAAAGCAGGGAAAGAATCGAGCTCCTCCCAAAACTTACCGATTCCCATCCATTTCAAACTCGTCAGAGAGCGTAGCCCCGTTGGCAAATATTTTAATTTCCGACAATTATATATATATAAAGAGGAAAGAGACTGCAACCTGGACACATCGACATCTGCCAGCGAGATCAAATGGTGGCATTCACTGATTGTCAAGCTGTTAAGAGATGTGCAGGATTGTAGCGCCCTCGGAATAGACAACTCACGGAGGGATGTGAGGTTGTCTAAACTGGGAATAGCTTCTAGATTAGTGCAATACAGCTTCTCAAGAGAGACGGGGTTCTGTAGCGCATCAACCGGTAAATGCCTCAAATTTTGACAATTTTGAATATGCAATTCCTGAAGAGAGGTGCAATATTCCAACCCACTCGGCCAGCTTGATAATTTCTCACAATTCTTAATCTTCAATTTGCGGAGACGTGGCATGCTCTGGCTCTGGGTGGTAATTGGAATGAAG